CTGATCGGGTTTTGAAAAAAAAAAGTTTTTTTTTTCAATTTAAACAAATTACAACATGTTATGTTTGTGAGTGCATTAGATATAGTCTTTTTACATTTTTTTTTTACATTTAGTACTAGTTTATTCAATATGTTTGTTGTAATACTATTCGTTAGCCGGTCAAAATAATATAAAGCGTGAAAGCTTTGTATGTGTAATGGTTTCTCGTGTTATGTTTATTTTTATGGTTTTTTTTCTATTTGTATATTAGTTTTAAAATAAACCGGGAGTGACCTCCCCTAAACTTTCTCGAATATTTTTATATAAAATAACAGGGGATGGGAACTCGGGCTATAGACATGATTTTTAATCCATTTTAAATACTTAGTCTTAAAAATAGAATAAAATCTCGTAGACAAAAGAATTGCACACCAAGTGAACGCTAAATAAAAAAAGTGCATAATAGTGCGCAATATTATTAGTACTTTAAAAATTTACATTAGTTTTTTGAGAAATCGGAAGTAGCGTAAATTACTACTTCCGGTCAACGGAAATGACTCAAAATTTAACAGAAGGTAGAGAATTAGATCTTTTACTGACAGGTGAAATTTCGTTTATCTATCTGAAATAGTACTCAAGTTATAGGCTTTTGAAAATTTCAAAGTAGGAAAAGTACCACTTCCGGTTATCGGAAATCGCTCAAAAGCTGATACGGATCTACGATTTTGATAAAATACTTATATATGAAATTTCTCCAACCTAGCTGTAACGGTACTCAAGTTGTCGTGTTTACAGACACACAGACAGACACACAGACATACGGACAAGATTGCAAAATTATGTTTTTCCGTATCAATGAGATGTAAAACGTCGAGACTTGTAAAAATCTCGATTTTTTTTTTGCACGATTACAAGACTTTCTCTATACTTCGTATATACGAGAAAGTAAAAAAGTGAAGTTGACAATGAAAATAAAGAACGAGAACAAAGAACGTGAAATTATCCTTATATGGTATTGAAAATGTTGCATGGTGAGAAACTGTGAATCTTTGTGTAACCTCACCGCCCCCCCCCCCCCCCCCCCCATCACTCAACACAATCCCCCGCCGTTACGTAGCAAAAAAAAAAAAACCTGAAAAAAAAAGAACACCTTCAATTCAAATGCTTTGAATAGGAGAGAATTTTAATAAAACCCCCCTCCCACTTCACAAAGGTTTTTTTTTCAAAAGTGTTGGGCACGGCCAATTCTAAACGTCTGCATTTTTTTAAAAATATTGCGGCTACAACTTTGTTGGGCTGGTGTAAGGGGGGGGGGGGGGGTGATCATGATTTCTTTATTCGCATTTTATTACCTGAACGATATAGCCAGGTGTGGGTTAAGCAACATAATAATCTACACACTAACAATGGAACAGGGGAGTTTCTCCAGAACTACTTTTCTTTTACGATATAGAATATATATAGAATACATTAGTTTTGTAATTTATTTTGTATACATTGTCCACAAATTTTGTACTCTAAAACGTGCAGAAATATTGACAAGTAGCTGCTCTGTATGTGTAGTGTGCAGATAATTAATGACATGTGTTACTATTGCAACTAAAGCAATTATTATTTTTATTTCTGGTCTCATTTTAAATAATTTGAAAGCTGCTGTAGAAGTGGGTTTTTTTTTTATTTTCAACTTTTCGGCATTAAGAAGTAGAAAACAGATGCTAGTTGATATTTAAGTTTAAAAAACTATTGGTGTTGTTCTCATAGACGGTGGTGACCTAGACTATTTGTAGCTTAACCCAGTGTTTAAAGTAAAAACAGGCTAGAGGATCTAGAAAATGGGAAAACAAAATCCATGGACGAGTTTGATAACGAAAAAGGGAGGGGGGAATTATGGCGGAGGACAGTCGAATGGAAAATCAAAATCACGACACTAGTGGCGCCCATACTGTCCACACTGACAAGTGACGCCTCTACTGTCCACACTGACAAGTGGCGCCCCTACTGTCCACACTGACAAGTGACGCCTCTACTGTCCACACTGACAAGTGGCGCCCCTACTGTCCACACTGACAAGTGGCGCCCCTACTGTCCACACTGACAAGTGACGCCTCTATTGTCCACACTGACAAGTGGCGCCCCTACTGTCCACACTGACAAGTGGCGCCCCTACTGTCCACACTGACCAGTGGCGCCCCGACTGTCCACAGTGACAAGTGGCGCCCCTACTGTCCACACTGACAAGTGGCGCCCCTACTGTCCACACTGACAAGTGGCGCCTCTACTGTCCACACTGACCAGTGGCGCCCCGACTCTCCACACTGACAAGTGGCGCCCCTACTGTCCACACTGACAAGTGACGCCTCTATTGTCCACACTGACAAGTGGCGCCCCTACTGTCCACACTGACAAGTGGCGCCCCGACTGTCCACACTGACCAGTGGCGCCCCGACTGTCCACACTGACCAGTGGCGCCCCGACTGTCCACACTGACAAGTGGCACCCCTACTGTCCACACTGACAAGTGGCGCCCCGACTGTCCACACTGACCAGTGGCGCCCCGACTGTCCACACTGACCAGTGGCGCCCCTACTGTCCACACTGACCAGTGGCGCCCCGACTGTCCACACTGACCAGTGGCGCCCCGACTGTCCACACTGACCAGTGGCGCCCCGACTGTCCACATTGATAACGACCGGACAGAAGTAGAAGTACATAAAATGTCTTGTCATTTGAACATTACAATAACTATGCAAGAGTAAATATGGGGATCCCTAAAAATTGGAGGCCCTCTTACCTGCTCTCCCCCCCCCCCCCCATTAACCTGCCACTAACTGCCGTATGATCACCATACTTAAGGGGCAACTAAGAAAGACGAGTGTATCACCAAATGCATCTAGGGAGTTTTAATACAAAATAATTAGATCTAGATACCTTGGACCTAAACTATCCAAAACCTCACTTCTAAAAACAATAAATGTAAAGCACCTTTCTATACTTTTCTTAGTAATGTAGCCGGTGAGCAAAGACGGTTAGGATGTTTTTTCATTGATTTCTAGCGTTAGCCTGTTGTGCTGGTTAACTGAATGCTTGCGAGTGAGAAATAATTCACAGTTGAGACCCTGTACAGTATTATTGTTTTTTATGATTTGTTACCACCGTGTTATGCAATCTGATGCGATCTGACGAGATAACTTCAATTTATGTTTATTTATTTTTTGAAGTGTCAATCATTTGGCCGAATTCGGCAGCTGTTTGTGTTTTTATAATGTTAAAATAATCTCATTTTATTGTCATAAGCAAATGCTGGTTCGGACTATGTCATTTCAGAGTTTTATATAAGCAATGTCTGGGTAGGAGGTGATTACAGCTGGTAGCTATACTTAAGTGTCTGCATGTGTTTTATATTTGGTTAAACCTATTGGAATAATCTTGCAATTCAACATTCAAACATTTGTTTTTATAGAGAAAACCAACAATTACATTGTAAACTATAAATTTCTGTAATTTGTAAGAGAAAATTTGGTGGCCCCATGAAATCGGGGCCCCTGACTGCTGCTCTCTCAGCCCTCCCCCCACTTTCAATCCGCTACAGCTAAGGGCACTCGCTTGGCTTTAAGATCGTATACTGTAATTTGTCTCTCAGGTCCAAGGGGCAACCACTCGCCTCGCTTTAAAACCTTGGCGGGAGATCACTGTTGTATCCTTAACATTTATCAACAACCATGTTATCGCCCTTCTATGCATCTATAGTTTTTGCTATGACTGTAGATAGTAGGTGTTAAAAGCTCATCCATTTTACCACAAGAACCGACAACTTAACATTTTCTTTAACATGAAAAGATTTTTTTTTGACACTACGTTTGAGTTTGTCTCCTCATGTAATAAAAGTTAAATGCAAGGTCTGTTTTCTCATATTGATTGAAAACAAATGGTAAATGCAAGGTCTGTTACGTTAAAGCGTTGAAAGTATTTTCATATTATAAAATAAGTGTGTATATAGTACAATTAGTGTGTCAATTTCAATGAGCTATAGTTTAGGAGACGTCAACATTATATAAGTATACACAGTGGCGTCGCTAGGTCGGGTGTCACCCGGTGCGGTACCTCATGGTGTCACCCCTTTATCCGGAAATTATATATATATATATATATATATATATATATATATATATATATATATATATATATATATATATATATATATAATGTCTATATATGTCTATATAGGCTTATATATAAGATATATATACCCCTATATATAGTTGCAATTGGTGACACCCCTTTCCCTTTTCGCCAAATGGCGACAATTTATGCGCACAATCCACCTATAAATTCATGGGCAAAAAGCATCATTTTCATTGTAAATTATTAGATTTTGGTGTCACCCCTCTCCGTCGTTGAATCAAAATATTCATCAAAACCTTTTCCTCTGCAAGTTTTGCAGTTGGTGTCGTCTCCCCCCCCCCCTCGCCCACCCCCTCCGGTGATAGTTTTTAAAATGTGATCAGTTAATAGTTGTTTATCTATAGTCAGTTATTTAAAATGGATTAACTCTAATTGATCATTAATTGAACTGGCAAAAAGCATGTTTCTTCTATACGTTATGTCATTTTTTGCCATGGTGTCACCTCTCTAAATGGTGTCACTCGGTGCAGTCCGAAATCCCGCCCTCTCCTCGCGACGCCTCTGAGTATACATTTTCATGTCGAGAAAAATACAGTTCACTGACCAAAAACATACTTTCACGTCATTAGGTTTAGTCATCGAATATAGTGACCCACCGTATATACAGTGTATGGCACTCTTTATTGAGAACGTAGGCGCCATTGAAAGCACGGGGCGCAACAGATCACTTTGCCCGTTGGATCAAGTAGTACCCCGTCCATGTGCGCTGGACGCCCTATCAATATATCCCAGGTGTTTTTATAGCTTAATTGGGGTTGCTTCTCCTAAATTTTTTTTTTTTTTTGGTGCAGAAAACTCTCCAGAAGTATTCTGGAAATAGCTTGTCTTGTGCACCAAAAGAATAAAAAAAGATGATGTGATTCATACTTCACAACAATTAACAGAGTAAGAAATACGAAGTGAAAAAGATAATTATTTATATACTTTATAATGTTGGCTGCTTTAATAAAGTGACCGTGCAATAGAAAACATCAAAACTACAATATTATATTCTTATCTCTCGTTCTCTCATATTCTCTCTATTTATCTCTCTAATTCTCTCTCCATCCCCTCCTGTAACAAAGTTACTTATTGCTTTCACTGACGTCTTGAAGTGGTTGCATCTCAACGGGTGAGGCGGTGTCTGTAGATGGGGCGTTTTGTTGGTAGCCGCTGCGGTTATTCTGCCCGTCAGGGGTGCCTGATGCGTTTTGCCTGTTAGGGGCGCCGTAATATTTTTGCCAATCTGGTGGGGTGCTGTATACATTTTGCCCATAAGGAGCGCCGTACCAGTTTTGCCCGTAATATGGGGCGCCATATGGTTGTACCGTGTTCACGGGGTAGGGATTTAACTGAGCATTTTGTTGCTGTGAAGTTTGACTGACAGAAATATTCGTCTGGGGTCCTGACTGTATAGCAACGCCAGATGTAATCACGTCCTGGAATAAATGTAAATAATAGCACCACTGGATCAGCGGCTTCGGCACCACACGACGTCAATTCCACCCTCCAAATAAAAATAAAATAAATATATGTTGAATGCATAACAAATCAATACAAAAAGTGTGATGACATCGACAAAAGGTGATATCCCTGAAGCCATCTTCCTCAATCAAATTTACGATTATTGTTTAATGGTGTCATCACCCCCCCCCCCCCTCACTACACACATTTTCACACTCGGAAAAAACAAGGTTTAGTTTCATGTCAGGAGATGTTTGAGAGAGGAATCGTTGGAATGTAAACAATGATTCGTAACTCAGTCTTTATATTCCACACACACCTACATTTAAATCAAGTCAGCCATTTTGTTTAGAGTTTTGTAAAAAAAAAATCTGGAAAATTAACCCTACCGTGGCGACTTACCTTCGCACAACAGGTGTAGTAGCAGCATTGGATAAAGACACAGAACAAAACAATCCCGCTAAGGACGTCTATCACGCACGTAGCAATAAACATGGGGCGGAGTTCAGGAGAGTTCTCACAAGTCTGATAATTCAAATAATCAAACCTGCAAAAAAGGAGTAAATGTTGTCCTAAGCAGAGTTTCTTTGGGGGGGGGGGGGGGATAGGAGGGGCTGTAGACGATATATACCCCCCCCCCCCCCCCCCCACAACCCAGCGAAATAGATAAAAATATATACTTTTACCGGTTTCTGCCTACTTCCCCCGGAAAATTCAGTCCACCACTTTCGAAAGTTTCAAGCAACGCCCCCCCCCCCCCTACCCGGAAAAAAGAAACAGTGGTCCTAAGTCAATGGCAAAGATGACAGGAGACCGATAAAATAACGGTGAAATGGCACCAACCTGCAGTTAGATTGAAAAACTTGGTCGGCTGCTATGATCAAATACATTGGAACTCCAAAGAAGAAACTAACACCGCCCATTGCAATCAAAAATAGCAGGCCAAAAATCAAAGCTACAATATACTGAAATTATATGCATATATATATATATATATATATATATATATATATATATATATATATATATATATATATATTTATATATATATATATATATATATATATATATATATATTTATATATATATATATATATATATATATGTGGTTTATTTATGTATCTATATATATAATTCTCTTCTGGGAGATGTTAGAAAACAAGCTGCAAGCGCCTCCTTACAGTCCCCTCTCTTTCTGTCTATCACTATCACTATCACTACCACCCCCACCCCACCCCACCCCACCCCCACATGGTCTGGTGAGTTGTGGTCACGCTAAATGTTTACAAATCGTAGAGCCGGGTTTAGTGACGGCTATTTTTGGCAGATAATTTAGTTTGAAACGATGTTAAACTTACAGGAGGTAACTCTTCTTCTTCTTCTTCTTCGTTCTTAATTATTAGTGTTGAAGGGGATCGAGATTTATCTGCCAGTGGGTTTGAACTCGAGACTTTGTTCGAAGTTATCAACCATGAGCTTTTTGCCGACTCGACCACGCCTCCAACACAATTAAGCGTTACGTGTCAACTGGTTATGCGCCATTGAGGCCATTGACTCCGATTTCAGCCTGCTTTTCGTTTTGGATTTGCTTCCATAGCCTTTGTCCAACCAAGAACAAACTACAAGGCAGCAGTTGTTTAATTTTGGAGTTGTCTCTCCTAGAAGAGTGGCTGTCCCCAGCTAACGAGCCTCATCTGCCCGAGGGTTCGAACTCGAGACTTTTCGGTTTAGCAACCATGAGCTAGGAGGTAACTAAGAGGAGGCTGCTTTCACGGGGGGGGGGGGGGTGTAGGGTCGGGGTTAGGGGAAAGGGGGGGGGGTTAGTGTTTTAAAGCAAATATTTTCAGTGGCAGCATTGGTACTGTCGAATTCACAAATTATGAATTACTGAAAAGTAGAAAATAAAACAACTAAATAGCGGCCTATGATACGCCGCGGGTCGGCTCGTATATCTATAATATGAGCGGTCAGGTAGTGTGTCATTCCGTCATAGCTGTATAAAAGTAAATAAAAGTAAACACCAACTCATGCAGTGTTTTACTTGCATTGTATTGTGTAATTGTAGTTGATGGAGTAAGGTTTATTTATATAACGAATTAATTTTTTTTTATAGTTCACATAGGTTTTAGTCTTTCGCATGACGTAAAAAAAAAGTATTCTAATATATACAAGACCATGTGCGCACTTGTCTCAGTCCACAATATTTGTGGCAACGTCGTCAGTATGTTCAGCGATATATGGAGAACTTAAAGATACAGACTTTTGTTAAATATAATATGGTGAACGGTATAAATGTATGAACTAAATTTTCTTTAAAGAAGGAAAATAAAAATAAAAGATTATTCTAATGTAGAAACAGATTTCTAACTAAAGCGTTAATTGTCGTGACAAGAACGCATTAAACAATGACGTCATTACACTAAGGAAAGAATACACAACTAATGGCGTCATCTTCCAATTTTAGAATATAAAGAAATGAACTTTTTCATTCAAATTTGATTTAGTTCTACGTACGCCATGAAATGTATACAATCCTTAATTATATTATATAAATCTTTGTTGCCTTAGCTTTGGAATTGGCTAATTTGGGATAAAATTTAATTTGAAATAATAGGGCCTATTCGCGTAACTTAAGTTTTTAACGCGGACTCTCAATGTAAACTACACCACTAATTTTATATCTATTCGGGGTTTTTAACAAAATCATTTAAGTCACTCAATTTTAAGCCTCTTAATCAGCGCCTCTGTCATCTGGTGCTAGGGCCTTGTCGTGGCTTGGCAGCTTGCGTACCCTGACGACCCCCAGAGCTATACCAGCGGGAGTGTTAACTCCTGGCAGGTTCAACCAAGCTGGGAAGGTCTGCGCGGGTAGGGGTCAGACGAAAGCTAGCATCCTGGTCCTCCAGGTTGGGGGTTGAGCATAAGGTCAGCAACCTTATCTCGTAAAACAACTATCGCTACAGAAACGCAGACAGAGAGAAACAAAGACAGCTCGGACCAGGGGAAAAATGGATCTCCCGATGGAGAATTTATGAAGCAGGGTGGTGAAAGCCAATATATATTGGAAACTACCAGGTCGACCACCATTATTTCCACTAGGACCACCAACAATATTGGAGCTTGGAATGTCCGCACGATGTACGAAGCTGGAAAAGCAACCCAAGTAGTAGCAGAAATGAGACGCTATAAAATAGCTATCCTGGGTGTCAGCGAATCAAGGTGGACTGGCTCAGGACAAAAAAGGCTGTTATCAGGAGAGCTACTGCTGTACTCAGGTCATGAGGATGAAAATGCACCACATACTCAAGGAGTTGCACTCATGCTATCAAACCAAGCACAAAGGGCTCTCATCGGATGGGAGGCACACTGCCCGCGGATCATAACAGCTACCTTTAAAACTAAAATAAGACGAATAAACATGGACATAATACAGGCCTACGCCCCAACAAATGACAGCAAAGAGGAGGACAAAGACGAATTCTACAACAGGCTAATGACCATTATCCAGTACCGCCCAAGAAGAAACATCCTTATACTCATGGGCGACTTCAATGCTAAGATTGGAAGCGACAACAGAGGATATGAAGAATGTATGGGACAGCAGGGTTTAGGTGAGATGAACGAAAACGGAGAAAGATTTGCTGACTTGTGTGCCACAAATAATTTAGTCATTGGCGGTAGTCTCTTTCATCACAAAAGGATACATAAAGCTACTTGGGTATCACCCGACCTATCTACAGAAAACCAGATAGACCATATATGTATCATAAAAAAGTTCAGGAGATCGCTTCAGGATGTACGCGTCAAGAGAGGAGCTGATGTTGCTTCAGACCATCACCTACTGGTAGCTAAAGTAAAACTCAAGCTGAAGAAAAACATGTTGGAAAACAAAAGGAAATACAGGTACAACACAGGCCTGCTAAAGGACCCATCTAAACTCAACGAATTTAAACTTCATATGTCCAATAGGTTTCAGGTACTACAAGAACTAATAGAAAAAGAGACGATAGAGGAAACATGGGAAAATACTAAAAGTATATTAACATCAACATGCGAAGAAGTGCTAGGCCCTATCAAAAGACAAGCGAAGGAATGGATATCAGCAGATACCATGAAAATTATTGAAGAGAGAAAAAGAAAGAAGGCAACATTAAACAACAGCCGCACACGGGCTACGAAATTAAAAGCACTGGAAGAATACACCCAAACGAACAAAAATGTCAAGAAACACATAAGGAAAGACAAACGGAGCTATTTGGAACTGCTGGCAAGAGAAGCGGAAGAAGCACTGTACCATGGTAATATTAGGGACGTGTACAATACAATTAAGAAGATATCTGGTAAGTACAGTAAGCCAGAGAGGCCAGTGAAAACCAAAGATGGAAAGACAATACCTGATGCGCAAGGACAGATGAAGAGATGGGTAGAACATTTTGAAGAACTACTGAATAGACCAACACCAGAGTGCACGCAAGACATACCACCAGCTGAAAGTGACCTCCCTATAGACTGCAACCCACCTTCAAAAGAAGAGATACATAGAGCTATAAAGCAGCTGAAAAATTGGAAGGCTCCAGGAATAGATGGTATACCGGCAGAAGCACTGACAGCAGATATCGAAACTAGCACCACACTACTATACACACTCTTCAAGAAAATCTGGGAAGATGAACAAATACCAGAGGAGTGGAAGGAGGGACTACTCATAAAGCTTCCAAAGAAAGGCGATCTTAGTGCATGCTCTAACTATAGAGGGATAACACTTTTGTCCATCCCAGGCAAAGTCTTCAACAGAATATTATTAAACAGAATGAAGGAAGCCATAGATCCCCAGCTTCGAGATCAACAGGCGGGCTTTAGGAAGGAAAGGTCATGCATAGACCAAATTGCTTCCCTGCGCATCATCACTGAACAGACCCAAGAGTGGAACTCATCTCTCTATATTAATTTCATAGACTATGAGAAGGCCTTTGATAGCCTGGATAGGCAGTCAATGTGGAAATTGTTGAGACACTACGGGGTGCCACAGAAAATAGTCAACATTATTATGTCTTCATATGAAGGTCTCAAATGTAGAGTAGTGCATGGCCAACAGACTACAGAGGCCTTCCCAGTACGGACCGGAGTAAGACAGGGTTGCCTACTTTCACCATTCCTGTTCCTACTGGCCATAGACTGGGTTATGAAGATGTCAACAGAGAAAACGCGAAACGGTATACAGTGGACATTGTGGAGCCAGCTGGATGACCTGGACTTTGCTGACGACCTGGCCCTCCTTTCTCACACACAACAGCAAATGCAGGATAAAACCAACAGGGTTGCAAATTTTTCTACAAGCCTGGGTCTGAACATCCACAGAGGGAAAAGTAAAGTTCTCAAAGTCAATGCATCAAACAACAACCCTATAACACTGGCAGAAGAAGCCCTAGAAGAAGTGGATAGATTCACCTAACTTGGAAGTATTGTTGATAAGCAGGGTGGGACAGAAGCAGACATAAAAATAAGGACGGGTAAGGCAAGAGCAGTCTTCAACCAACTAAAAAATGTTTGGGGTTCGGGAGATTTAACCCTTAGAATAAAAATCCGGATCTTCAACACACTAGTAAAACCTGTTTTACTCTATGGAGCCGAGACATGGAGAATAACTGCTATAAATAAGAAGAAAATACAATCATTTATAAACGCATGTCTCAGAAAGATCCTGCGAATTCGCTGGCCTAAAACCATCAGAAATGATGTTCTATGGCAATGGACAAATCAACTGCCAGTGGAAGTATAGATCCTCCAGAGAAAATGGAAATGGATTGGCCACACACTCAGGAAGCCTGTATCCAGCATAACAAGACAGGCCCTCACCTGGAATCCACAAGGCAGGAGGAAGAGAGGCAGACCAAGAAAGACCTGGAGACGTGACCTGGAAGAAGACACCAAGAAGATTGGATACACATGGGGACAGTTGGAGATACTAGCCCTGGACAGAGACGTCTGGAAAGCTCTTGTCAGCGGCCTATGTCCCAGTAGGGACGACAGGCAAACATGAATCAGCGCCTGCATTTAATATGGTGTTGACTAATAATGCATATAATTTGGTTTTAATTTTTCTAATAGGTATTAGTAGTCTTTGTTATTTTAAACAAGTATAAACATAGATCGTACATAAAACAAAACCCCTTCTTTCCGGGTTTTTTTTCATAATCTTAAAAATGTTTTATTTCAATGCTCCTGATCAATACAATGTTTCTTTTTCTTATTTTCTGATAATCACTTTTTTAAAAAGCTGAATTACAATTAATGTTATTACTCACTTTCCGTAGATATCTACAGTTTCTTCAGGCATCTCTACCGTTTCTTCCCCTTTCATAAAAAAAAAACTCAGAAAAACCAGTATCCGCTACCCCCAATTCCCCCCCCCCCCCCCCCCACACACACACCCTAAACGCTCCCCTGGACAGTTTTAAATGCCCTACCCGGAGATAAATATCTAAAAGAAAAACTGGGTAGCCTATATGTAAAGAGAAGAGAGCTAACAGTCACCAGAATTGCCCGTGTAACGGGTACAGATTGCTAGTTAAATATACGCCTGAAAAGAATTCTGTTCAACCTTGATCCGTTAATTAGGGATCATAAATAGAGTTCAGGGATCTACTTGAATCAGTGATCAAGCATCATTAGTCTAGTTCTCCGACACCATGGCGGTCGTGTGACTCGGAGCCCGGGCTCCCAAATGAGCGTCATGGCGCCTAACTTAGCTTTAAAGAGCGCCCTACACTAGGGATTCGGTGGGCTACTCTAACTTGTCACCACATGTGGTATCCGCACTTCTCCTATTGTGTATATTTTTACTTTGGGTCATTTGGTTTTAACAAGCTATTGTTATGTATGTAGTATAGGTCCAACAAACGAATGTATAATTTAAAAAAAAGATAATCACACGTTGAAATATTTTACCAGCGAGGTTTTAGTTAAGCGTGTATAGAGAAAGGAAAAATGTAACAATCCACAACTTACCATACATACGTTGTGGACACAGGCAGCTATAGAGCCAAGAATCCCAGGAATTATGTACTGAAACAAAAGTTTGAAAGATCTAAAACATTAATTGTGTTAGTAGTTCGTTATGTCCAATAGCTGACTCTGAAACAAATTATCAAATGATGGGATGTCAAATGTCATGAGATGTCCAATGTACGTGGTTACAATGGAACCGTTTACTACAATAGAGTAAGAGCTTACCAAAAACCCAAAACTCCAAAACGGGAAAGCATACAGGCCATCATTATTCCTCAGAGTTTGTTCATTCAGCGTGTCAAATATCACAGCCATGAGAACAGCAAAAACTATCCCTGTACATACACACACACACAAACGAAATAAAACTTGCTTTAAATTTCACTAATTTGATTATACAATTAACTAAACTTTTAGACGTCTAAGTAAGGAATAATAAATTCAAATAAATTAAAAGACTTAGTTCAGATTTTAATAGGTATTATTTCCCTTTCACACGATTTTTTAATGTCACATCTGCTTCTGGGTTGTTGTTTTTTTTTTTTAAATTTAGTTATCTCTAATCTTTTAAAAGTTATTAGAATAAACAAGTATAAAAACCAACAAGGTTTTTTTTTCAGATTCAATAAGTATATTTAATTTTCTAGGCTGTCAAAAAACATCGCGATTTATTTACTTTCTTTTAAGCAAGGTTGTCATAGACTTGTAAAACTTTATACATGTTCAATTAGTTTATAATAATACCCATCAACTGACTTGCAATTGATATCTTTAAATGACCTACCTTGAATAATATCACATCAAATGACCTACCTCCTATAATACCACATCAAAAGACCTACCTCCTAATCACATCAAAAGACCTACCTCCTAATCACATCAAAAGACCTACCTCCTATAATACCACGTCAAATGACCTACCTCCTATAATAACTAATCCTGACAAAACCCCAAGCGCGACCGGCCTGTTGTTTGTCATTCTCTATCTGCCTGCTGGAGATTAATCTTGCTCAGATCATTTCAGTGGACTTTTGTCTTTTTTGTTGAGTGAAGATTATTGTCTTGTTTGCTGTTACAATATTATCTTTATATGAATTGTAGATACACATCAGATAAGAAAAAAAATTGATTCATAATAAAATACCATTCTATGTGTTAAACATTACTCTCACACACACGCAACCAAACAAACACACAAACACACACACACACACACACACACATATATATATATATACTAGCTGCATCCCGTGCTCCGCCACGGTAAATCTTTTTAAAATATACCAACTTTGGAACAGAACAAAACAAACAAAAACACAACACAAACACAAACACAAACAAAACACAACCACAACCACAACACAACCACATTACAACCACAACACAATCACAACACAACCACAACACAACCACAACCACAAAACAACCACACCACAACCACAACACAACCACAACCACAACACAACCACAACCACAACCACAACCACAACACACGGTAAATCTTTTTTAAATGTACCAAGTTGGGAACAGAACAAAACTAAATACAACACAAACGAACGCAAAGAAAAAACAAAAACGAAAAAACAAACACAACACTCAACATAAACTCAATTTAAATGTAATCATAAAGGCATATTGCTCACAGTCTATCCCGTAGCGCCAAATCGCGCCCTTTCCGAGCGCCGGCGGAAAATTTCGATTTACACCCTCCCACCTCCCTCAAACTTTCGATTTTTACCCTCCCCCCCCCCCCTCTTGCTACGCCTCTGTTATAAAACCCCTAGCTTTTCCGCAAATAAATTAAAGGCACTATTTAGAATATCCGTGTTTTACCGACCATATTGCACTTTATAAATTCATGCATTTTTTTCAGTACTTTTAAAAATTTACAATAAAGTTTCATGACTAAAACCATTGCGCACCTAATGAACATGATGACTTAATATAGTAATGGAGAATAGTTGATTAAAAATTATAATTAGTAAACAGTACATTCAGTGAATAAAATAAATAAAAGATAGCCTTTTATCAACCAATGCTAATATTAATATTCCAACAATAATGTACTCTTACACGTCTGCATAATTTGCATTCACATTTTGCTAATTATATTATTCCAACAATTATTCCGTCTTGCAGATTTTGCATTCACATTTTTAGCGTGAGTTCAATTTATCTTTGAATTACCTCCATTGGCAAAATTGCTAAGCAGTTTAATTAGATTTTTCTACCGTACTGTTATTATGTTATTGATATGTATCCACTTTTTCTGGGAATATTAACGAAAACGATATTTGACATTGATCCTTTTAATATGTTTTAGCAATGTGCGTGTATTTAATATTCTCTTTACGTTATGCAAAATTGTACAAACAGTGGAAATTATAAAATAGCTCTATGCCGTTATATAAACAAACCCTACTCAAATACTTATAATAAGACACTGCGGTGCACTGAAAAGCACAGCATGGTGCGTAGTTTACTTTTATAGTCCCAAAATCTATAGCGATGACGGACGGACGGACGGAAGGAAGGAAGGACAGACACAGCCCGCTTATATTATAGACTAGCTGCATCCCGTGCTCCGCCACGGTAAATCTTTTTTAAATGTACCAAAAGAACAAAACTAAACACAACACAAACGAACGCAAAAAAAAAAAAAAAAAAAAAAAACAAAACGAAAAAACAAACACAACACTCATAACATAAACACAATTTGATTGCAATCATAAAGGTATATTGCTCACAGTCTAGCCCGTAGCGCCAAATCGCGCCCTTTCCGGTGATTTGCACCCCCCTCAAACTTTCGATTTGCACCCCTTCCCCCCCCCCCCCGCCCTAAAACTTTCGATTTCCACCACTCCCCTCCCCCCTCGCAAATTTTTTCCAACCCACTTTGGCGCCCCCTAAGGTCGGCACCCGGGGACATATGCCCCCCCCCCCTCGCTACGCCTCTCCTATAAAACCCGAAAGATAGAATAATAATTAGAAAACAGTATAAATAATAGGCAGTATCCATAATATATACAATATTTCACTTTATCCATTCACGCATTTTTTTTTCCAGTACTTTAAATTTTAAAAATGTACAATAGAGTTTCATAACTAAAACCATTGCGCACCTAATGAACGTGATGACGCGCCTATAATAGTGCTGAATAGTTGATTAAAAATTATAAGTAATAAATAGTAGGGCCTACATTCAGTAAATAAAATAAATAAAAGATTGCCTTTTATCAATCCATGCTAATTAAAATTTTCTAACAATAATTTCCTCTTACACATCCGAATAATTTGCATTCACATTTTGCTAATTATATTATTGCAACACTAATTCCTTCTATGACGAACGTATATTTGCATTCACATTTTTTATTAGCGTGAGTTTAATGTATTTTTAAATTACCTCCTTTGTCAAAATTAGAAAAGAGTTAAGTTAATTTGATTTTTCTACCCTGCTGTTATTATGTTATTAAAATGTATCCACTTTTTCTTGGAGCCTAAACGAAAATGATATTTGACATTAATCTTTTTAATACGTTTTAGCAGTTTGCGTGTATTTAATATTTTCTTGACGTTATGCGAAAGAGTAAAAACCGTGGCAATTATAAAATAGCTCTATGCCGCTATATAAACAAACCCTACTCTAATACTTATAATAAGACACTGCGGTGCACTGAAAAGCACAGCATGGTGCGAATGTTTACTTTTATGGTTCCAAAAGCTATAGCGTTACGGAAGGAAGGACTGACACACTACTTGCCCGCTTATATTATAGATTATATATATATACTAGCCGTCCCGGCCAGGCCCTGCTCTGGCTTCTGTGAAAAACCTTTCCGTTAAAGACCATTACCTGTGTGTTTAAAAATCATCATAAACCCGGCATTGCCCACCCAAACCACAACCAACCAAAACAACAAAACGCAAACATAACGCTAACACAATTAGAAATACAAACGAAAACAAAAACCTAACAACAAACCCAACCACAACCACAAACACCAATACAAACACAAAGAAAAAACAAACGAAAACAAAAACCTAACAACAAACCCAACCACAAACACCAATACCAAAAAAAAAACAACGAAAAAGCAAACGAAAACAAACCAAATCCAAACGCAAAACCAACCAAAAACACAAATACAAACCCAAACAAAAAAAACACAAACAAAAACGAAAAAAGAAAGAACAAAAACGAACCAAATCAAAACGCAACCACTAACGCAAACCCACCTAAACACAAAGAAAACACTAACGCGAACATAAACGCCCGGGGCAGAATCGCCTGTTTTAGCTTAATAAACGACTATAGTACCCCAACTTATTCATAGTTTTTGCACTCACTTAAACGAACGCGCCTGTTTCAATTTAATGAACAATTATAATACTCCAAGCTTATCCGTAAAATACCTAAAACATTTGCACTTGATCAATCCCCGCTAATTATGTAATTATTTTTTTCCCAACACCAAAACAAAGTAATTAAAAAGTAAATGCTTTTCAACTAATGCTATGGTTTCATAAAGGGAAGTAATTGTGTTTTGCCTAATTTATCAAAGGGAAGTTAGCGCTATAGGACTAAATAAAAACATAATTAGAATTTTTGTAAAAGATGATATTTTTTTAAAACTTGTGTTTAATGAACATGCCGACAATTATTACTATAATTTGAAAAATGAAAATGATTTCCCAACACTTTTAATAGTAATTTTTTAACTCATAAATTTAGACAACTGCGCACGATAATTGATCTAACACTTAAATCCGTAGAAATGCCAACGACAAACATATGCGTTACAGAATTGAGCTTTATATATATATATATATATATATATATATATATATATATATATATATATATATATATATATATATATATATATATATATATATACATATATATATATAGTGAGAGAGAGGTAGGTGGTAAAATAACTACTTACATAAGAAATAGATAACCAATTACCAGTTCATCAGAAACTTAATAACTAAAGTACTGTATTTCACCTCCCTCCTTCTGTGTGAAACGCTAGTCGTCCCATTATAGGTGCGCCTAGTGTATCGATATCTCACCTTAAATCTTGGGCGAGAAATATTTAAACACTTTACATTAACGATTTTTTCTTTCTCGTATATACGAAGTATAGAGAAAGTATTGTAATCGTGCAAAAAAAAAAATCGAGATTTTTACAAATCTCGACGTTTTACACCTCACTGATACGGAAAAACATAATTTTGCAATCTTGTCTGTGTGTCTGTCTGTCTGTCTGTCTGTCTGTCCGTGTGTAAACACGATTACTTGAGTACCGTTACAGCTAGGTTGATGAAATTTCATATATAAGTATTTTATCAAAATCGTAGATCCGTAGCAACTTTTGAGCGATTCCCGATAACCGGAAGTGGTACTTTTCCTACTTTGAATTTTTCAAAAGCCTATAACTTGAGTACTATTTCATATAGATGAATGAAATTTCACATGTAAGTAAAAGATCTAATTCTCTACCTTCTATTAAATTTTGAGTAATTTCCGTTGACCGGAAGTACTAATTTACGCTATTTCCGATTTCTCAAAAAACGCATGTAAATTTATAAAGTACTAATAATATTGCGCACTATTACGCACATTTGGTTTTGGTGCTCGCTTGGTGCGCAATTTTTTTTTCTACTAGATTTTATTCTATTTTTAAAAGTTTAAGTAAACAAAAATCATGTCTATATTCCGAGTTGACATCCCACGTAGTGTTATATTAGAATATTCGAGAAAGTTTAGGGGAGATCACTCCCGGTTTATTTTTATTGACGCTCAAATTGAAACCGAAAGTTGGCGCCTTGTTCTAATGCTATGAGTATGAGATCGTTGGCGAGTGATGGCTTGTTTCTTTGTCGTTCATCTAGTGGTCAGTTGACATGACATGCCAAATGACACAGTGTGAACATGACAGGACAGATGACACTAAATCAGGCCCGAAGAAGTTGTGATTGTGTTGGATGTTCTGTGTATGTGTGTATGCTTTATGGGATTTGGAGTGTATATGATAGGACGCCTGATATATTATGGTGAATAAGTAACATTGTAATGAGAGAAATAGCTTAAATAGAGAAGCTTTAAGTAGAAAAGGACAGTTTTCAACCTTTAAATTGTATTGACTTTTTTGCCAATATTCGACGATGGCTGTCACATTGATGTTGATGGAATGTTAAGCCCCAAGTAACAGAAGGTAGAGAAACCCTTACAAAATATATTTCCGCGAACGTCTTTTGATTTTGACATCCAATCAGCTTAAAAGAAATAAAAATCGAACACCTCAAAGAGGAGATTTAGCAGCATATAACTTACCCACTGAACACAGATGGCAAACTGATGCGAAAAAAAAACCCATGACATTAAGCGTTTACACTGTGTGTGTGTGTGCTTGTGTGTCAGTGTGTGTTTGGCTCATGCATGTGTGTGTGTGTGTGTTCCATAACGTTTCCGAGAACCAACAGTTGTAGTTTTATATTTACAATTTTGAAACTAAAATCATTGTAAGACACACCAGCGTAAAGTCCTATACATACACACATACGCACACACACATTCACACACACACACATATAGATATATAGATATATATCTATAATAAAACTTTATTATGTAAAGTGTACGTGGTTTTCAGAATATTATCTTATTGGGTGATCGTTTGTTGGAGTAACAGTACCATTTGGGCTAATGTAGTATTCTGACACACACAATATTTAAGTAAACTTTCTAACCCACAAAATATTTACAATGTAAACAAACTTGATGACCCCCTAATTATGGACAATGTAAACAAAAATTTTGACCCCCTAATTATGGACAATGTAAACAAAAATTTTGACCCCCTAATTATGGACAATGTAAACACAATTTTTGACCCCCTAATTATGGACAATGTAAACAAAATTTTTGACCCCCTAATTATGGACAATGTAAACAAACTTGATGACCCCCTAATTATGGACAATGTAAACAAACTTGATGACCCCCTAATTATGGACAATGTAAATAAACTCTAGATTTTTTTTTATAATAGAAGTGGGTTTTACAAGTACAAATGTTAAAATATTAGTAAAATACGTTTAATGGAAATAAGAGTTTAAAGATTGATGTACATTAATATTTATCTGCGTTTAAAACTGGACATTTTTCTCAGGAGGTGTTGTCAATGTGAAAGTGGCACCGTTTGGTGGTGATGTGTATGGAGGGGTTGTGGTGCCGTTTTGTGGTGGTGCAAGGTATGGATGAGATGTGGTGCCGTTTTGTGGTTGTGCTAGGTATGGATGGGATGTGATGCCGTTTTGTGGTTGTGCTAGGTATAGATAGGATGTGGGGCCGTTTTGTGGTGGTGGGTAATGACAGCTTAGTCCTTGTGGAGGCTGTTCGACTAACTGCAGTACGACACCGGCAAAAGTCGTGGTCTGAAAAATAAGATAGAAATATTTTATCTTACGCGTATGTTTTCTTTTTCTTTGGCTCTTATACAGAAGACTTGTATTTCTACATGGCTTCACTGTTTAGAAGTATACATTTTACTTCTAGACGTATACATTTTACTTCTAGACGTATACATTTTACTGTCTAGTATTTCTAAATTACATTTCTCATTGCCTAAAAGTAAATCAGAGGTATTGACTGTCTACACGCAAAGAAAACATGGAATAAATCATCTTTAACAAATCAAATATCTTTATTAATGGCACGCATTTTTTCTTACTCTAAAGCCAGACTCACCCCCCCCCCCCTCCCACAAAAGTACCCAGCCAAAGCCAGACTCCCCCCCCTCCCACAAAAGTACCCAGCCAAACAAGACTCAACCCCCCACAAAAGTACCCAGCCAAAGCCAGACTCACCCCCCTCCCCTCCCACAAAAGTACCCAGCCAAAGCCAGACTCCCCCCCCCCCTCCCACAAAAGTACCCAGCCAAAGCCAGACTCAACCCCCCTCCCCTCCCACAAAAGTACCCAGCCAAACAAGACTCAACCCCCCACAAAAGTACCCAGCCAAAGCCAGACTCACCCCCCTCCCCTCCCACAAAAGTACCCAGCCAAAGCCAGACTCACCCTCCCACAAAAGTACCCTGCCAAAGCCAGACTCCCCCCCCCTCCCACAAAAGTACCCAGCCAAAGCCAGACTCACCCTCCCACAAAAGTACCCAGCCAAAGCCAGACTCACCCCCCTCCCCTCCCACAAAAGTACCCAGCCAAAGCCAGACTCACCCTCCCACAAAAGTACCCTGCCAAAGCCAGACTCCCCCCCCCTCCCACAAAAGTACCCAGCCAAAGCCAGACTCACCCCCCTCCCCTCCCACAAAAGTACCCAGCCAAACAAGACTCAACCCCCCACAAAAGTACCCTGCCAAAGCCAGACTCACCCCCCCCACAAAAGTACCCAGCCAAAGCCAGACTCCCCCCCCCCCTCACAAAAGTACCCAGCCAAACGAGACTCACCCGAGCACAGCAGGTGTAGTAGCAGCAGAAGATGAACTTAACAAACAGAACAACCCAGGTCAGGCACACGATGACGATAATGGCAATACAGATGGCAATTATCTCCTTTAGGTCCTCACAGGTATTCTTATAACGTTCTGTGTCATATGACTGACTAAGAGAATATAACGCCAACATTAGGAGAACCTAGTCATCTTCGTGGTCTGAGTTCCTAAGTAAATTTATCGATAACATTTTGAGAATGTAGTTATTTTAGGTTATAACTGGGCTATACAAATATGTACTTGCCTGCAAACACACTGGTCGTTTATAGTGGAGCAATATGAGAAATCTTTATAGGACATCATTCCCACGAAAAACGAAAACGAGAAGAGATTTATCAATCCTACCATACCCATCAGTAATATGATACTGATAATCAACACCAACACATACTGAAAAGACAAAAGGCAAAAATGTGTAATGTATATATATATATATATATATATATATATATATATATATATATATATATATATATATATATATATATATATATATATATATATATATATATATATATATTTATATATATATATGTTTATTTTGTTTTTGCAAGCTTTTATTTTGTTAAAAAATTCCGTTTGTTTCTTTGTGGGTTTGGCGAAAATCTTGTAAATCAATTTTGACCATATTCTAATGCAGCGATTTCATTCAAAATTTCGAGAGCAATTCATGCATATGCATATCTAATTTTGAATCCAACTAAACATTGGATTTGTCACTGATATCTAATTAAACGGTATCGAAACTGAGTGAGATATCATAATTATGTTAACGATCCCTCAATAGATTATTATCTATAAATATATAATTCTCTTCTGGGATCAGTTAGAAAACAAGCTGCAAGCGCCTCCTTGCAGTCCCCTCTCTTTCTCTCTATCACTATCACTACCACCCCCACCCCACCCCAACATTGTCTGGTGAGCGGTGTTCACTCTAAATTTTTACAAAGCTAAATCGAAGAGCCGTACAGCCGGGTTTCTATTAGGGGCAGATAATTTAGTTCGATTTTAAACTTACAGGAGGTAACTAAGAAATAACTAAGAGGAGGCTGCTTTCACGGGGGGGGGGGGGGGGGGTGTAGGGTCGGGGTTAGGGGAAAGTGGGGGGGGGGGGGTTAGTGTTTTAAAGCAAATATTTTCAGTGGCAGCATTGGTACTGTCGAATTTACAAATTATGAATTACTGAAAAGTAGAAAATAAAACAACTAAATAGCGGCGTATGATACGCTGCGGGTCGGCTCGTATTAAAATAATAGAATGAGAGACAACTAGCTAGACGCGATCACCCGATGACATGAGCTGTGATTCAAGCTGAATGTTGTTTGCCCGAGTACCTAGCTCGCAATCTAATGAACGGGTTTTAACTCTATTCAATAATAAAAGGGGATATAACAAGATTAAATACTAGCGATCGCACAATCAGCTCGCTATAGAATGAACCGTTGTCACGGTTGACTTTGGTCGCTCACAAGATCTCTTACAAATTTGAGCGGTCAAAGCTTTTGTTAAAAAGGGTAAGTTTGTTTTATTTGCTTATTTTCAGTGCCTTTAGAAGCTTGTTATGATTAGGGTTTTTAGATTGAATAAAGGTAAACACAGCTAAAGTTTTAAACTTAAACTTTTTTAGACATTTAACTTCATCATTATGAGCTGAGTCAAGTACTCACCAGCCATTTCTTCTGGACGAATGCAGCTATGAAGCCGAGAATTCCAGGGATTATGTACTGGAAATATTTTTGTAGAAATAGTTGAAGGTTTAATAGATATAGTATATCCATCAAAAGAAAGATGTTACATCCCTGACAAGACAGAAGTACTGTACATCCCTCACAAAAAAAATGTACGAAATCCCTGACAAGACAGAAGTACTGTACATCCCTCACAACAAAAATGTACGAAATCCCTGACAAGACAGATGTACTGTACACCACTAATAAAGCGCTACACTGACACAAACAAGAACACATAGCTCACCGCAAAGCCAAAAGTCCAAAATGGAATAAAGTCTAGAAGTGTGGAATCATCATCTTTACCAGACACTTTCTGGGTTACCACAGCAACCAGAACAGCATAAAGTATTCCTGGAGAAAAGCACAGAACAAGTCATAGTCTACTTAGGTGTTTTGATCTATTCCTGTTAATTTATTTTAATAGGAAAACAAAATTAATCAGGGGACAATAGTTGAACTGGTTTGGTCTCTGAGATAGTTTTTTTGTATCCATCATTTAATTACATTTTCTACTACATAACTAATTTACTAAGCAACTTTATTCATTGGGCTGTTAGTTTTAAGAAGTATTTTTGCAGTTTTATCAAATATCAAAACAAAAGTCTGATCGTGTGTCTTAAGTAAAGGTAAAGTTTTCTTATCAAAACCTGTGATTTCTTCCCTAAAGCTAAATTCTGTCAAACTTACAAAAAAAACAACAACAAGAATTAACTATTGCCTGCAACTTACCACTAACAGTAAAAAAAATTTACCAGTCACAGTAAAAAACTGTGAGCAACTTACCAGTAACAGTAAAAAACTGTGAGCAACTTACCACAAACAATAAATAAACCGGGAGTGATCTCCCCTAAACTTTCTCGAATATTCTTATATAAATTAACAGGGGATGGGAACTCGGGCTATAGACATGATTTTTAATCCATTTTAAATACTTAAAGTTTAAAAAATAGAATAAAATCTCGTAGACAAAAGAATTGCATACCAAGTGAACGCCAAATAAAAAAGTGCATAATAGTGCGCAATATTATTAGTACTTTAAAAATTTACATAAGTTTTTTGAGAAATCGGAAGTAGCGTAAATTAGTACTTCCGGTCAACGAAAATTTCTCAAAATTTGAAAGAAGGTAGAGAATTAGATCTTTTACTCACATATGAAACTTCATTTATCTATCTGAAATAGTACTCAAGTTATAGGCTTTTGAAAAATTCAAAGTAGAAAAAGTACCACTTGCGGTTATCGGAAATCGCTCAAAAGTTGATACGGATCTACGATTTTGATAAAATACTTATATATGAAATTTCATCAACCTAGCTGTAATGGTACTCAAGTTATCGTGTTTATAGACACACAGACACACAGACAGACACACAGACATACGGACAAGATTGCAAAATTATGTTTTTCCGTATCAGTGAGATGTGAACAGTGTTTCTTCCAGACTTTTTTCTCCGGGGGGGCACTTGAAATCTTCGGGGGGCGGTAAACTTTCTTCGGGGGGGCGGACACTGTTAAAAGTATATATTTTCTATATAAATTATATAAATTTCATTTCGTTCGGGGGAGCGGTAAAATTTTTTCGAGGGGGCTTGGCCCCCCCCCCCCCCCGAAGAGATGCCTAGAAGAAACTCTGGATGTGAAACGTCGAGATTTGCAAAAATCTCGATTTTTTTTTGCACGATTACAAGACTTTCTCTATACTTCGAATATATGAGAAAGTAAAAAACGTGTCCTGAGCAACTTACCACCAACAGTAAAAAATTGTGTGCAACTTACCACCAACAGTAAAAATATGGCCTGCAACTTACCACCAATAATAACAAAACATGACAGGCTGCCCAGGGTGATAGCTGTACGTCTATTGATCTTCATCTTTTTGATGTTATGCTGATGTCTTGTACTGTTTTAAATTGTGTATGTATTGGTCTATAGATCTGTACATAGGCTGTAATTATATGTAAGTATATGATTTACTACGTTTGCGAATATTAAAGTCAATATTTTTTATTGATGTCACTGGAATTTTTTTTTATGAATTTTTAAAAGTTGTCCTACACACTGACTTTACTAGACAGTGACCACAGTCTGTCGCTGGCACAGTATGTCACTAGCACAGTATGTCGCTGGCACAGTATGTCGCTGGCACAGTATGTCACTAGCACAGTATGTCGCTGGCACAGTATGTCACTAGCACAGTATGTCGCTGGCACAGTATGTCGCTGGCACGGTATGTCGCTGGCACAGTATGTCGTTGGCACAGTATGTCGCTGGCACAGTATATCGCTGGCACAGTATGCCACTAGCACCCCCTGAGACTCACATAGAGCTAAGAAAACACCAACCTGAAGGACCCTACCTGTCCACGTCTGCTACAGAACGCCACACCACCTTTAATAGTTCCAGTAACACACGTCTACCCGTCTGTTCTAGGTTAGCCGTACCGTGACGTCATTAGGGTGGCCAATTTAAACCAGGATGTAATTTTTTTTTTATTGCTCAATAAAACGGTTAGTGCAAGTATTGTACAACGGGTGTTTTGTGTTTTATGATTGTGTTAAATTGTACTTACATGACGTAGGGGTATGTTGTAAAATAGTTCTGTCTCTAGGTGGTTTATTTATGGACTTCTTGGTGTATCGAAATGTGGCTCAACAGATTTACACATTCTTTCTTGCAACGCGGAAATGAATTAAGAAATGTTTCTAAAGTAGTTGAATAAAACTGTGAATGGAATAAGAAAAAACACATTTTGCGAAACGTGAATGTTGTGCTCATTGTCGATACCACTTTGTGATTTATACATCCCATTCCCCTCCCCCAAAACAATCCCTTTCAAGTTTACATTAGTGAATACTATATGACGTAACGAACGTCGGTATTAATCTTTCACTTTAATTTAGGTATTAATCTATTCTTTAATTTAGGTATTAATCTATTACTTTAATTTAGGTATTAGTCTATTACTTTAATTTAGGTATTAATCTATTCTTTAATTTAGGTATTGATCTATTCTTTAATTTAGGTATCAATCTATTACTTTAATTTAGGTATTAATCTATTCTTTAATTTAGGTATTGATCTATTCTTTAATTTAGGTATCAATCTATTACTTTAATTTAGGTATTAATCTATTACTTTAATTTATGTATTAATCTATTCTTTAATTTAGGTATCAATCTATTACTTTAATTTAAGTATTAATCTATTACTTTAATTTAGGTATTAATCTATTTCTTTAATTTAGGTATTAATCTATTACTTTAATTTAGGTATTAATCTATTACTTTAATTTAGGTATTAATCTATTTCTTTAATTTAGGTATTAATCTATTACTTTAATTTAGGTATTAATCTATTATTTTAATTTAGGTATTAATCTATTACTTTAATTTAGGTATTAATCTATTATTTTAATTTAGGTATTAATCTATTACTTTAATTTAGGTATTAATCTATTATTTTAATTTAGGTATTAATCTATTACTTTAATTTAGGTATTAATCTATTATTTTAATTTAGGTATTAATCTATTACTTTAATTTAGGTATTAATCTATTATTTTAATTTAGGTATTAATCTAGCATCCCAGTTATTTCACCGCTTGCCGTGGGCATTGTCTCACAACACATAAATGCTGTTAAACGTTAAACAGGCAGTCCATTCCACCATAATCTTGCGGTATTAAGACCGATAATCCACCCCATCATATAATCTTGTGACGTTAAGACAGTTTATCCATTCCACTAAAAAATCTTGTGTTACAAAGTCGATCCATTCTATCACATAATCTTATATGTTAATATCGGCCTTCCATTTCATCAGGGGCGGAACTACCATACCGCCAGACCCCGCAGTGCGGGGGGGCCCAGGACGTTTAGGGGCCCATTTCCGACCAAAAAACAATGCAATTATGTTTTCCATGCATCTTAAAAGTGGTTTTGTAAAAAAAAAAAAAAAAAAAAAACAGGTCTACTATAGCAGAGATTGTTGCGTAGAAAAATATTTTAAAATCTCCAAGGGCTATAGTCTGAAAGGTAGGCAAACATTCACACAACTTCCATGACTTACTGCCCTTCTTTAAAATAGGGATGCCCACGAATCTCATGTACATAGTTTTGTACTATGTTGTGAGGGTGGGGATTTTAAGATGCGAAACGAATGAATCCAATAACACACAGTTCAAGTTCAACTATAATTGTTCTTTATTAAATTGATATATATATATATTCAAGTTTCTACCTAACTGATCTACACTGTACTACTTCTATCTGACTGTTCATTATACCACTAACTACGCACTCCCATGACCAATCCTAACACTAACTGTTCTCTACATTCTACAATCTAACACCTTCTACCTCGCTAGCTAATCATGATCTACCTAACTATCTACATTCCTCGGCCGTCTCTGACCGCTACCTAACCCTTCTGGCCTATCGCTCTACTGCCCCACGCCTCAGTGGTCAGCTGACCATACCACGTGACCGGTCAGTCTCTGAATTTTCATTGGTCTACCTCTGACTAACACGCTAAAGCCTATTTCTGCTATCTACCTGGCTTCGACGCAACATTGCGTCATCACATATCTCCCTCCCTTTCTGTAGCTGACAAATTATATTTTTCAGCGTCTGCTACTAATCTAATACATCAACAACTATCTGTCTTACTACTCTATTCTATCCCTAACATCAATCATATAAATCAAATACAAAATGGGACAGCACAGTTTACAAAAACATAAAATCTTGTGTCTGTGTTCCTGAAAAAAAAATGTCATTGTTCTAGTTTTTGTGTAAGTATCCTGACGTCTGTGGTGTCTCTGCTTGATAATGTATGTCTATGTTATGGTTTGATTGAATCTAATCATGTGTAACTCAGTTCTGGTTAGGTTGTCGTGTACTGGCCTTGAGCTAATCTTAGTAGAATGTGTAACTGGTTGAACGGGCTCTGCGAGCAGTGTAAGTGTATGTGTAAGTGTTATGTAATTGCTGGCGTTCCTCTGTGGTGGGTGGGTTGTGGCGAGTTTTGATGTAAATTCCCGTGAGGCGGGTGTATGCGTAACTTCGTTGGTCAATGTGATGACGCAACAATCTCATCTCAACGCTGGTTGAGACGTCCACGTAGAGTGGTTATGCGATGAACTGGAGCTGTCTGATGCGGTGGCGAACAACGACGTAACGTTCCGACGCTAGGAACTTGGACGATGGGTCTTCTACCCTTTGTATGTGCCGACGTAAGTGTACGTAGCTGGCGGTCTGTTATTCAACTCCAGTGCGGGGGCGAAGCGGTGGCGATGCGTCCGCTGTCTTGACCAGGGCAATTCTCTGTTCGGCAGGGTTGTTCGCTGTCCAGGTAATTCAACGTAATCATGGCTTCAGGTGGCGGCATTCTTTGAAGTGTCTGCTTCATCTCGTCTCATTCTGAATAGCGCTGGTGGGTCTGAAATTGTATTACGAGATTATGAGCAATGGCTTTACGTGACCATCTTAGTGCCCGCGCAGACAAGTATTCAGACAGAGGTACCTTCCATTAAAAAAACCTCAATCCCAAATTTATACGTGCTGAACATTTGTCTGGCGGTATAACAAACATTAAAAAATAACATTACAACATAACCAAATAAAAAATCAGTACACTCTAATCTAACAACAATCTGTAAAGCCTAATAAACTCAATAGACGTAAACACTACTAGAGCTTAGAAATAGCTTCACACAAAAAGAATAGACATGTAAGTGTATATAAATAATCGTGCCGTTTCAAATAACATTTGGACACGTAATCATATAGTGGAGCAGCTCTCACTATCTGACTTCTGACAAAAACTGGCTGGCTTGACTTAATGACTGATTTCACTTTTGACTTCAGTAACTTGACTTATTTCACTTTAACTGACTTCAGTAACTTCACTTATTTCACTTTGACTTCAGTAACTTGACTGACTTCAATTTAACGACGGATTCCACTTTGACGACTTCAATTACTTCAACTTGACGACTAACTTCACTTTGAAGACTAACTTGACCTCGACGACTTCACTTCAATTCAACTTAAAAGCCTTCACTGACCGACTTAAACTTCGACGACTTAAACGTCTTCACTTTGACTTCAAAGACTTATCCTTGACTTCAACGACTTCAATATGACTTTAAATACTTCACTTTGACTTCAAAGACTTCACTTTGACTTCAACGACTTCAATATGACTTCAAAGACTTCAACGACTGACTTAGATTAATCTTACTTCGACTTCAAAGACTTTAACTTTGACTTCAAAGATTTCAACGACATCACTTTGATTTCAAAGACTTCACTATAACTTCGACGATTTCACTTCTTCACAATGACCTCAACGACTGTAATATAACTTCAAAGACTTTTCTTTGACTGCAACATGACTTCAACTACGTCACTATGACCTCAACTACGACTCAACTTATTGTCTGACTTGACTGACTTCAAATAACTTCTTTGACTTCAGTTCTGACTAATACTTCACTGACTTCAATAACACAATTGACTTCAGATTTGACTACTCTGACTTCTGCTGTACGACTTCACGTCGATTTTCTCGACTACTTAGATCAACACAAAAATACTCGACTTGACTTCACTTTTATGTCCGTTGTTCAAAATCATTTATGGGGACGGTCCGAGTCAAATTCTATCCAGGCATTAATATACCACACTAGGACCGATAGGGTGGGGCTCGGTGTCGACAAAGGTGTTGTGAGCTTTCACATGGTCTATGATTACCATGCTTGTGTTTATGTAGGTGTGTTGATGGGGTCATCTGGTTTAAGGCTGACCAGGAGTAACAGTACTGTTTGTCTGCTATCAAATTCCTTGTTACATATTCCTCTGATTCATTGTTTACTGATTTCTCTAATCTCAGCAATCTATTACTGACTGTTTCGTTCTGCAGCCCTAAGTTAAGAACATCTGCACCAATCTCGGTAGTCTTTATAGAATGATCCTCAATAACCTCGTTAACTTTTTCTATCAACTTGTCCGTTTTGAATTGCAATTCGTCTACTTTTGTGTCTACTTTTTCGTTGTCTCGAAAAATGGGCTGCTTGTTTATTTGTTGCTTGTGGCTCATAAATTCTACATTAAATTGCTTCACTCCTGTAATGTTGCCTAATATCATATCGTATGGCCCGTTTTTGAAAACAACTGCTTCAACTGTTTTACACGCTGAGGGTGTGGCTATGGTGACTATAGCTGTTGGCCAAACATATGTGCTGCCTCTTGAGCTGTGGACAAGTTGTGTTCTGCCTGTGTATTGGTGATGTTGTACGAATGTGTTACGTACTGCCACTGTGGAGCATAGTGTATCCCTAATTGCTGTTGCGTATCTGTTATTAATTTTTGACGTAAATATGTCTGTTCTTTTACTGGCTTCTGTAAACGATGACATAAATGCTATTCTATTAATCTGTCTATATTTTGGTCTGTTGCGTTGTGCCTCTTGTTGGCGTCTATCATAATATCGTATTCTGCAATTTATTTGTTTGTGGCCTGTTCTATTACAATAGTAGCATCTGACACTGTGATAGTCTTCTGGTTGACTGTAGTACATGTGTATGTTGTGGTTTCTTGTATTATATTGAACTGAATGAGCTGTATCGCTCTCTTTTGAAAATCTCTCGCTTGTTTCACTGGATGATTCATCTGAATAGTAATATGTTGGTGCATATGCTATCTGGTTGTTTTTATTTGTATCTAAACTTTGCACCGTTTCTTGTTTGGCTTGGCAAAGTTCTCTCAATTTTTCTCTTTCTTTACGAATTCTTTCTGTTTCTTCTTTAATTCCGGCAATATATGTTTCTGCCTCTCTTTGTTTCTCTGCTAACTCGGCATCTATCTTTGCATCATATTCTTCTTCAGTCAACAAGGAATCTGGATCTCCGGTTACCTTATAATCCACAATTCTATTGATCAAATCTTCCATAGCATCTGGATCATCTAGAGTTTTTGCGTCAAATTCTTTAACAGTTAATAACCAGTCTCGATTTTCTGTTGTCGTGTATTGTCCAAGCCTAATAATCAATTCATCCAGAATATCTGGATCCTCAATAGTTCTTGAATTGCTTTTCACTTTGACTGTATTCTGAACATTTATATCTAGTAACGAGTTATCAATTCTACCTGACTCTTCTAGGCCTGACTTAAGCTCAGTTTTAGTGCCCATTTCGTACAATGGAGGCATTTTTAAGGGTAGTGTGGTTGAAGAAACAGATAAGAAAGAGGCAGAAAAACCGCTGGCACCAAATATCCAGCACAAGTCTAAACCCAAACGTTTAAAAAAATTTTGGAAGGTACTTATCTTTTTGGACATGTTGACTGTTCCCTTGTGTTGGTAATCCAAACTCGTTCCGGTTGAAGAAACCCTCTGTTGTGTTGAGTTAAGAAAGCTGTACACCAGTACACTCCGTCATGAGTAACCAATATACTGTCTTTCCTGTCCTCGACCCGCGCTCCACCAGATGTGAGGGTGGGGATTTTTATGAAGGCGGAACGAATGAATCCAATAACACACAGTTCAAGTTCAACTATAATTGTTCTTTATTAAATTGATATATATATATATATTCAAGTTTCTACCTAACTGATCTACACTGTACTACTTCTATCTGACTGTTCATTATACCACTAACTACGCACTCCCATGACCAATCCTAACACTAACTGTTCTCTACATTCTACAATCTAACACCTTCTACCTCGCTAGCTAATCATGATCTACCTAACTATCTACATTCCTCGGCCGTCTCTGACCGCTACCTAACCCTTCTGGCCTATCGCTCTACTGCCCCACGCCTCAGTGGTCAGCTGACCATACCACGTGACCGGTCAGTCTCTGAATTTTCATTGGTCTACCTCTGACTAACACGCTAAAGCCTATTTCTGCTATCTACCTGGCTTCGACGCAACATTGCGTCATCACATATGTATAGTAAAAAGCAATTGATTCTCTGAATTGTTATTTAAATAAGACGTACTAAACAATGGTATAGATATAAAAATCAATTTTGAAATTTTTTTTTCAAAATTGATATTATAAAAGCCAAAAACGAATAAAATAAACATAACGCGAGAAACCATTCACAAATTAAGCTTACGTCTCTATATATTTTTGACCAGTTAAAAATGAAAGGGATAAGAATCAACAAAAAATGTGTCTAGTTTGTTCTCTCAGAATGGTTATATATTGCAATGAAGTAGACTAAATTACTCTGTTAAGATACAGATTATATATATACATATATATATATATATATATATATATATATATATATATATATATATATATATATATATATATATATATATATATATTAGTTTCGTCACTGGCAACTTGATAGTGGTTTTGTAAGTAACAAACAGAATACAGATCTAATACAGTAGTGATGTTATATAGTAGCAAAGACATGCTGGTGCGTACATTTTTTTTTTTAAATGAACACAGCTGTAGTGTGAAAGATAGGCAAACGTTCAAACCACTTGCGCAAATTATTTCCCTTTTTCAAATAGTCAAATAGGGGTGCTCAAAAGCTCTTTTTAATAGATTTTTAATAATCAAATTAAAAAGCAATTACTTATCTTAATTATTATTTAAAAAAAAAAGTACTTAAGAATGGTATAGTATAAAAATGAAACGTAGTAAAGTTAATAATATAAATACAAAAAATAACATAAAAATAAACATAACACGAGACACCATTACTTATACAAAGCTTCATATACTTTTAACCGACTTAATGATTAGAAGTATTGTTCATAATTGAAAACAGAGATTTTCAAAACAGACCAATGCACTCATACACATGACATGCTGTTGTGATTAGAGTTAATTTAAATTTTTTTTTCAAAACCCGATCAGGCTAGAAAGGAGTATCCTATATTCGTATTGTGTTTGTATGTGTGTGTATGTATATATATATATATATATATATATATATATATATATATATATATATATATATATATATATATATATACATATATATATATATACATATATATATATATATATATATATATATATATATATATATATATATATATATATATATATATATATATATATATATATATATATATACATATATGGGGGGCCCAAAATTTTTTTTTGCGGGGTGGCCCATTTTTTCTAGTTCCGCCACTGCATTTCATCACATGATGTTGTGATGTTAAGACAGGCCGTACACTCCATCACATAATCTTATATGTTAAGCAGTGTTTCTTCCAGACTTTTTTCTCCGGGGGGGGGGGGGGGCACTCGAAATTTTCGGTGGGGGCGGTAGACTTTCTTCGGGGGGGGGGGGGGCGGACATTGTTAAAAGTATATATTTTCTATATAAATTATATAAATTTCATTTCGTTCGGGGGGGGGGGGCGGTAAAAAATTTTCGGGGGGACGAAGCCCCCCCCCCCCGAAGAGATGCCTGGAAGAAATTCTGATGTTAAGACGTGCTATACAAGTGTGTAGGTGCATGTAAAAATATGTCATGTATTGTGCAGCTCTGAATATAAGCGTAACGTTTTCTGTAGCTAGGGTAGGGTGGGTTAGGGTCAACTTTACCAGCATTAGCCTGACGGTATATGTTTGGCTTGAACAAACACCTTCCATACTTGGCCGCCTTAGGCTACGAAAATGGCAGACAACTCATGGAAATAATGCGTAGGTGTTGATTCATGGACTAACTCCCTTAGTAAGTCTCCGTCTCCGGGTGGGGTGGCACCCTTAGTGAACGCCCATAACAGCCGCAGCCATTGCCCCCACCCTCCTTCTCACCGAGGCAAAATGTCTGAAAGAAACTCTGAAAAATGGAAAACAGTTCTACATGTCTGTCCTAAAACTTTACGACTTTCCTTACTTCCAATCTTCACATTGTTAACGGTGTAATTTCTAATATGTAATTAATCTTTAATTAATCGAGCTCTTTCTACTATGTGTCTCAGCTAGTCAATAATGAACTAAAACAAAGACGATACAATTTGAAAGACGAAAAATGTCACGCAACATTTTTTTTATTGTTTTCAAAAGTTCCGACAGAGCCGTCGTCTGCTGGTGAGGTGTATGGAGGCGCGGTGTAGGTTTTCATTGGACAGTTTGGGTCACGTGTCGTCTGCTGGTGAGGTGTATGGAGGCGCGGTGTAGGTTTTCATTGGACAGTTTGGGTCATGTGTCGTCTGCTGGTGAGGTTATGGAGGCGCTGTTTAGGTTTTTGTAACAGCAGTAGTATTGTTGATAATATGATACTGTTGTTATTGTGGGTTCGTTCATCCAAGAATACGAGCAACATTGCTTTGTGACTTCAAACTTTATTTACATGGATCCAAGAGAAATAATACTAATATTCCACAGTAGAAAAATGACTATTACATTATAGTCTAGAACAAACTGACGTGGTGACATCTTACATCTTACAACACAATCACAGTCCAAGCCCCCTTCGTTCACCTTGCGCTCTCCTTTTATACTGTTCATTCTCTCCCCTTACGTCCATGAGCGATCTCACAAAGGCGTGCAAAAATACATTACGAGTCGCTCAGACAGTCCTTCCGCTAGCCAGGTACTCTACATTCATGCAACTTCATGTAAAACACAATATAATAAACATACCTAATAATACAGTCTGTGACAGTTTTCATTGGACAGTTTGGGTCATGTGTCGTCTGCTGGTATGGAGGCGCGGTGTAGGTTTTCATTGGACAGTTTGGGTCATGTGTCGTCTGCTGGTATGGAGGCGCTGTGTAGGTTTTCATTGGAGAGTTTGGGTCATGTGTCGGCTGCTGATGAGGTGTATGGAGGCGCGGTGTAGGTTTTCATTGGACAGTTTGGGTCATGTGTCGGCTGCTGATGAGGTGTATGGAGGCGCGGTGTAGGTTTTCATTGGACAGTTTGGGTCATGTGTCGTCTGATGGTGAGGTGTATGGAGGCGCGGTGTAGGTTTTCATTGGACAGTTTGGGTCATGTGTCGGCTGCTGGTATGGAGGCGCTGTGTAGGTTTTCATTGGACAGTTTGGGTCATGTGTCGTCTGCTGGTGAGGTGTATGGAGGCGTGGTGTAGGTTTTCATTGGACAGTTTGGGTCATGTGTCGTCTGCTGGTGAGGTGTATGGAGGCGTTGTGTAGGTTTTCATTGGACAGTTTGGGTCATGTGTCGTCTGCTGGTGAGGTGTATGGAGGCGCTGTGTAGGTTTTCATTGGACAGTTTGGGTCATGTGTCGTCTGCTGGTGAGGTGTATGGAGGCGCGGTGTAGGTTTTCATTGGACAGTTTGGGTCACGTGTCGGCTGCTGGTATGGAGGCGCGGTGTAGGTTTTCATTGGACAGTTTGGGTCATGTGTCGTCTGCTGGTATGGAGGCGCTGTGTAGGTTTTCATTGGACAGTTTGGGTCATGTGTCGTCTGCTGGTATGGAGGCGCTGTGTAGGTTTTCATTGGACAGTTTGGGTCATGTGTCGTCTGCTGGTATGGAGGCGCTGTGTAGGTTTTCATTGGACAGTTTGGGTCATGTGTCGTCTGCTGGTATGGAGGCGCTGTGTAGGTTTTCATTGGACAGTTTGGGTCATGTGTCGTCTGCTGGTATGGAGGCGCTGTGTAGGTTTTCATTGGACAGTTTGGGTCATGTGTCGTCTGCTGGTATGGAGGCGCGGTGTAGGTTTTCATTGGACAGTTTGGGTCATGTGTCGTCTGCTGGTGAGGTGTATGGAGGCGCGGTGTAGGTTTTCATTGGACAGTTTGGGTCATGTGTCGTCTGCTGGTATGGAGGCGCGGTGTAGGTTTTCATTGGACAGTTTGGGTCATGTGTCGTCTGCTGGTGAGATGTATGGAGGCGCTGTGTAGGTTTTCATTGGACAGTTTGGGTCATGTGTCGTCTGCTGGTGAGGCGTATGGAGGCGTGGTGTAGGTTTTCATTGGACAGTTTGGGTCATGTGTCGTCTGCTGGAGATGTGTATGGAGGCGCGGTGTAGGTTTTCATTGGAGAGTTTGGGTCATGTGTCGTCTGCTGGTGAGGCGTATGGAGGCGTGGTGTAGGTTTTCATTGGACAGTTTGGGTCATGTGTCGTCTGCTGGTGAGGTGTATGGAGGCGCGGTGTAGGTTTTCATTGGACAGTTTGGGTCATGTGTCGGCTGCTGGTGAGATGTATGGAGGCGCGGTGTAGGTTTTCATTGTACAGTTTGGGTCATGTGTCGTCTGCTGGAGATGTGTATGGAGGCGCGGTGTAGGTTTTCATTGGACAGTTTGGGTCATGTGTCGGCTGCTGGTGAGGTGTATGGAGGTGCGGTGTAGGTTTTCATTGGACAGTTTGGGTCATGTGTCGGCTGCTGGTGAGGTGTATGGAGGTGCGGTGTAGGTTTTCATTGGACAGTTTGGGTCATGTGTCGGCTGCTGGTGAGGTGTATGGAGGCGCCGTGTAGGTTTTCATTGGACAGTTTGGGTCACGTGTCGTCTGCTGGTGAGGTGTATGGAGGCGCGGTGTAGGTTTTCATTGGACAGTTTGGGTCACGTGTCGTCTGCTGGTGAGGTGTATGGAGGCGCGGTGTAGGTTTTCATTGGACAGTTTGGGTCACGTGTCGTCTGCTGGTGAGGTGTATGGAGGCGCGGTGTAGGTTTTCATTGGACAGTTTGGGTCACGTGTCGTCTGCTGGTGAGGTGTATGGAGGCGCGGTGTAGGTTTTCATTGGACAGTTTGGGTCATGTGTCGGCTGCTGATGAGGTGTATGGAGGCGCGGTGTAGGTTTTCATTGGACAGTTTGGGTCATGTGTCGTCTGCTGGTGAGGCGTATGGAGGCGCGGTGTAGGTTTTCATTGGAGAGTTTGGGTCATGTGTCGGCTGCTGATGAGGTGTATGGAGGCGCGGTGTAGGTTTTCATTGGACAGTTTGGGTCATGTGTCGGCTGCTGGTGAGGTGTATGGAGGCGCGGTGTAGGTTTTCATTGGACAGTTTGGGTCATGTGTCGGCTGCTGGTATGGAGGCGCGGTGTAGGTTTTCATTGGACAGTTTGGGTCATGTGTCGGCTGCTGGTATGGAGGAGCGGTGTAGGTTTTCATTGGACAGTTTGGGTCATGTGTCGGCTGCTGGTGAGGTGTATGGAGGCGCGGTGTAGGTTTTCATTGGACAGTTTGGGTCATGTGTCGTCTGCTGGTGAGATGTATGGAGGCGCGGTGTAGGTTTTCATTGGACAGTTTGGGTCATGTGTCGTCTGCTGGTGAGGTGTATGGGGGCGTGGTGTAGGTTTTCATTGGACAGTTTGGGTCATGTGTCGGCTGCTGGTATGGAGGCGCGGTGTAGGTTTTCATTGGACAGTTTGGGTCATGTGTCGTCTGATGGTGAGGTGAATGGAGGCGCGGTGTAGGTTTTCAATGGACAGTTTGGGTCATGTGTCGTCTGATGGTATGGAGGCGCTGTGTAGGTTTTCATTGGACAGTTTGGGTCATGTGTCGTCTGCTGGTGAGGTGTATGGAGGCGCGGTGTAGGTTTTCATTGGACAGTTTGGGTCATGTGTCGTCTGCTGGTGAGGCGTATGGAGGCGTGGTGTAGGTTTTCATTGGACAGTTTGGGTCATGTGTCGTCTGCTGGTATGGAGGCGCGGTGTAGGTTTTCATTGGACAGTTTGGGTCATGTGTCGTCTGCTGGTGAGGTGTATGGAGGCGTGGTGTAGGTTTTCATTGGACAGTTTGGGTCATGTGTCGTCTGCTGGTGAGGCGTATGGAGGCGCGGTGTAGGTTTTCATTGGACAGTTTGGGTCATGTGTCGTCTGCTGGTGAGGTGTATGGAGGAGCTGTGTAGGTTTTCATTGGACAGTTTGGGTCATGTGTCGTCTGCTGGTATGGAGGCGTGGTGTAGGTTTTCATTGGACAGTTTGGGTCATGTGTCGTCTGCTGGTATGGAGGCGCGGTGTAGGTTTTCATTGGACAGTTTGGGTCATGTGTCGTCTGCTGGTGAGGTGTATGGAGGCGTGGTGTAGGTTTTCATTGGACAGTTTGGGTCATGTGTCGTCTGCTGGTATGGAGGCGCGGTGTAGGTTTTCATTGGACAGTTTGGGTCATGTGTCGTCTGCTGGTGAGGTGTATGGAGGCGTGGTGTAGGTTTTCATTGGACAGTTTGGGTCATGTGTCGTCTGCTGGTGAGGTGTATGGAGGCGCTGTGTAGGTTTTCATTGGACAGTTTGGGTCATGTGTCGTCTGCTGGTATGGAGGCGCTGTGTAGGTTTTCATTGGACAGTTTGGGTCATGTGTCGGCTGCTGGTATGGAGGCGCTGTGTAGGTTTTCATTGGACAGTTTGGGTCATGTGTCGTCTGCTGGTGAGGTGTATGGAGGCGCGGTGTAGGTTTTCATTGGACAGTTTGGGTCATGTGTCGGCTGCTGGGCCAGCTGTAGCACAACGCCGCCAAACGCCACACCCTGGGGAAGAAATTTGGCTGGTGTATAGGGGGATGTTGTGTATAGGGGGATGTTGTGTATAGGGGGATGTTGTGTATAGGGGGATGTTGTGTGTAACCAAGCTAATTTTGTCAAATAATTTTTAAAAAGTTGTTAGAAGTTTAATTTTACTCGTTTGAAAAAATATTCGACTCACCCTCTCGCAGCACGTGTAGCTGGAGCAGAAGATGACCTTGAGAAGTAGAACAACCCAGGTCAAGGACACTATGACGAAAATGGCAATGAAGATATCACGAATGTCCTCAAAAACTTCGCACGTCTCATGGTATATGTTCACACTGCCGAGACAAATTCAGACGTTACAAAGAACATCAGACGTCATAAAGAACATCAGACGCCATAAAGAACATCAGACGTCACAAAGAACACATTTAAACGTGGACAACCAGACAACGACGGCTGAGACAGATGTTGACTCACCCACAAACGCACGTGCTGTTTATCGTCTGGCAATCCTCTATCGAGATTGTCCTCCTCGTAAACACATCATAACTGCCAAACGCAATGACCAACACAACACCAATCATGGCCATTAAACACAGGATACTGGACACAATGACCAACACGTACTGAAATTACACAATACAATATGTTGCGCATTATTATATGTGTGTATATCGGTAAGTACATGGTGTATATGTGTATTTTTCTGTGTGTTTCTAAATCTTTAAGTATTTACACTTCTGTACGATATTTGTCACTGACTTTCGTTTGTATGTGTGTCTATGTGTGAGAGAAAAAAATTTGCGAGAGGGCAACTTATAAACCACGTTTTTTATTAAGAGAAAACGCAAGAAAAATTTCATATAGATTTGAACCAAATCAATTATCAGCTGAAAAGTTAGGCTGTTTCACGCAGTAAGTAATACGGAACTTTCACCCCGTATGTGTTCATCTAAGTATCAAGTACTCACCAGACATTTGTTTTGGACTAATGCTGCTATGGTGCCAAAAATCCCAGGAATTATGTACTGGAAAAAATATTAAAAATATAAATGTATATGTCTACAGGCAATCTACACACGACATAGCTCAACACAAACATCTGCCACTATAAACAGCTCACCAGAAAGCCGAAAGTCCAAAATGGAACCGAATCTAGCATCGTGGACACACTCAGTTTCCCAGAACCTTTCTCGGTTAGTACGGCAACAAGAACAGCAAACAGTATCCCTAAAATGTCATCGTCAAAAAAAAATATCAAAGTTAAAACTGTACAGGGTTATCTAAGCATTATCGTGAATTCATTTCTACTATCTTAATAAAATATTCGTAAAACCAATCCTAAGATTATTTTAAAAATCAATTCTATAAAATAAATCAGTACAAAAAGGATTTAAACGCACGCATTTAAAGATATCGATTAAAAAGAAGCTTTTTGTTATAAAGACATATCGCTCCATGCATACTGTATCCAAAAACCACGTCAAACATCTGTACTGTATTAAAGGTGTATGCTCAGAACGTGCATTCTGTCCATAAACTACAACAAAAGTTGTCAACAACTTACCCCCAACTATAACAAACCCTGACAAGCTACTCAGGGTGATTGCTTTCCCTTTGTTCATCCTCCTGTTTTCTAAATGTTCAGATTTACTGTGGACAGATAGAAATGTTCAGATTTACTGCGGACATAGAAATGTTCATACTTACTCACACAAAGTACAGGCTAAATAAAGCTTAATTTTAATAAGTGGGGAAAAATGAAGAACGCTTTAAAAGCATCTTAAGCCATAAGGACACAAATACCCTATTTTGTAGCACTTTTAAAGTGATCTCCACAAAAGTGGTGGTAATCATTTCAACAATTGTCAGAAGTAACACACAAACACTCCACAAACAATCCACATACACACTCTATACACACGCCCCCCTACCCCTACATAACGGAAACTAACACTGAGTTAGACCTGAAGGCTTTAAAAGTGCTGCTCATTTACACGCTAGGGGTCGTGTGTCAGACACTACTGGTGAGAAATGGGGGTTAACACCAGAGTCGTAGAGACCCCTCCCAGACCCCACATATACGATGTATATGTATCCTACTGCTTTGAGTACTCGATGGCGTTCTACCCTTTAAAGGTTCCCATTTAGGACCTGATAGTCAAGAGAGCAGATGAAGTAACCTTCACCTGTTTCTGTGGCAAATAACAAGATGGTTCTATACCCAACCACCTCTACATTCCCTAACTCAGGTTAGGTACCCATCACCGCTGAGTGGACCAGGGGCGGAACTACAGTGCCGCCAGACCCCGCAATGCGGGGGGGGGGCCCACCCCATTTAGGGGCCCACGGCCGACCATAAAAAATTGTTAAAAAAAATGTTCTTGCATTTTTGATTTAATGTTTGTTTTGTAAAAAAGATTACCGTAGCTGCGGTTGGATTATCTTTATTCTATAGACACTACCCCACGCTCATTTTTCCTTCGTTTTTAAACCACTGTGAAAGCCGAGTCCTCTTTCTCCTACAATGAAACTTATCAAAGATAAGCAAACGTTCAAACCACTTCCATGACTTATTTCCCTTTTTTAAATAGTCAAACAGTGATGCTCATAAGCTTCTTCTTAATAGATTTGTACTAAACAAATTAAAAAGCAATTACTTCTCTTTAATATTATTTGTTTATAAATTACTTACTAAAGAATGACACGGTATAAAAAGAAAATGTATTCAAAATTAATAAAATAAATATGAAAAAACATAAAAATAAACATGACATTAGACACCATTATTTACAGAAAGCTTTCATGTTTTATATTCTTTTGACCAATATGAGGTTAAAGGACTTACGGCAGAGATAATATTAAACTGATTCTTAAAAAAACAGACTAATGCACTTACACTCATGATGTGATGTTGTAATTTGTTTTAATAAAAAAAAAAAAAACCCACGTATTTCTCATAACAGGAACAGGCCAGCATGAATAAGTATCCTATGTTCGTATGTTGTGTTTAAGTATATATGTATATATATATATATATATATATATATATATATATATATATATATATATATATATATATATATATATATATATATATATATGTATATATATATATATATATATATATACATGCATATATAGGCCTATATATTTATATGGGGGGGGGCTAAACATTTTTTTTGCGGGGTGGCCCCTTTTTTCTAGTTCCGCCACTGGAGTGGACTCAGTCCAGAAATCGAACGAGAAATTCCGGGTCAGCATTAATGCTATATATACAATCATTCAACTCATTGTTTCCTTTTCCCCTCGTCACTCTTAATGTCTTGTTTTATGTCCGATATTTCTTTGGTTGTTTCCCTTTGCGAGTTCAGTTAACCAATCATGATAATTTGGCTACAGGATGTATCTGAATGACAGATTAGCGTCAGAAACTTCACCTATGTGAGCTTTGTCTAATGATGGAAGATGTTGGCAGTTTGGTCTCGTATTTTCACATCGTGTCTATGGAACAATCTCGAATACAAGACATGAAATGGTTGGATGATAAGTTTGGCTGAAAGAAGTTACCATCAAACAAAAATGTAGTTGTCCGTTGACTTGCAACGTGGTGACATGTGGTAAGATTATTTTATTTGAAATGCGCCTGCAGAGTACGGAATAAATTGTTTTTCGTTATTTACGTGGTAAATAGCAAAGTGTAGAATAAATTTTTTCCCAGCAAAAATTTCCTAAAGATAATCATATCTCCATCTCAGTGGAGGAACTAGAAATCAAAGGCTCCCCCGCAAAGAAAAAACTAGGGCCCCCTATATATATATATATATATATATATATATATATATATATATATGTTACGGTCAAAGCCCGAAGTCGGCCAATGCTAGGATTGGCCGGCCAATCCGCGCATTGGCCAATATCGCCTCCCATAGGTCGGTCAAAGTCTGAAATAGCTCTTGATTTCGGCCTTTGGCCGGCCAGTCCGCGGTCTGGCCATGGTGGACCGGCCAAAGTCTTAATTAGTCCAAATTAGAAGATCATGAGCAGATTTTGGTTTTTTTTTAATGCCGTAAGGATCATGAAATTAAGTCTTTATTGATCATTAATTAAAGTAAATGACAGAAACATTCAAATTTTTTATTGTACTATAGTCTCAATCTTTCAATATCAAGATGCGATGGTTCGTAGTGATTTTTCCTCAGTGCCAACTGACGACAATAAGAGCATTTTTTCGTGAAGAATTGAAAACTCACTTCTAGCATACAGTTGTTTTAGAACACCATGTTCCGTTCCTAATTTGTAGAAACCGCCCTCGACGCTCATGACAACTGCAATCACTCTTCGGGGATCACCGCGACCTCTTTCAACATCTGGAACACGGATGCGTACATTGTGACCCACATCACCATCTTTAAATTTTGTATTTGATGTATTAAGCATCTTAGCACCTTGAGTTTGCAAGCCAGTATGAGCTGCTGATCTGTGTTCTATGATGTCTTGTTTGTTGTGACACAATATGCAGGTAATGTTCCCTCCGTACCCTTCGTCTGCTTCATTAGGTATTCCACAAATAGCATGGACATCGTTGCCATAGGATCCAAAAGAATGAGCTGCACTACAATGTTTTTCACAAACTATACAGAATCTGTTGGCCACATTATTGTCACGCAACTGGTCTGGGCGTTCCGCCACGGCAGTAGATGTGTTAGTTGAGGATGTCGTTGCATTTATGGCGACCTCCATTTCTTGTTCAATGTTCTCAAGATCTTCCTCAGTAACTATTTTATCGGGAGCCCATATACGGAAACTAACATAGATTTACATTTTTTTCTTTTGACAGCCATCTGCTATGTCTGTCTCATGGTCTGACGGCCCTTTTGATCCATGTCGCCTTGCATATAGAATGCTATACAAACAAGAGCTAAACAATACGTTACTCACAATGAAAACGCACCCAGAATAATGAAAATGCGATCACAACTTAGTCTAGATAGAACATTGGCCAGGACATCCCGGCCAGTGCGCTCATAGGCCGGCCAATGTACAAAATACGCTGTCAAGTTTAAGCGCTTCGGACTTTGGCCAGTACGTCCCGGCCAGTGCGCGCATTGGCCGGCCAATGTACGAAATACGATCTTAGTGCTAAGTTCTTCGGGCTTTGGCCAAGAGAGCCGGCCCATGCGCGGATTGGCCGGCCAGTCCGCGCTTTGGCCGCACTTCGGGCTTTGACCGTAACATGTATATATATATATATATATATATATATATATATATATATATATATATATATATATATATATATATATATATATATATATATATATATATATATATATATATATATATATATATATATCCTAACTGAGCAATTTAGTCTACTTCATTGCAATATATAACCATTATGAGATAACAACCCAGAAATTTAGTCCAAACTCATGTTCAGGTAGAAATGTATCATAATCATGCTAGTCAAAAATATATAAAGACGTTAGCTTGATTCGTGAATGGTTTCTCGCGTTATGTTTATTTTTTTCATTTTTGGCTTTTATAATATCAATTTTGAAAACATTGATTTTTATAGCTATACTATTGTATAGTACGTCTTATTTAAGTAACAATTCAGAGAATCATTTGCTTTTTAATATACATAGTACAAAACTATTTAAATGAGCTTCGTGGGCATCCCTATTTTAAAGAAGGGCAGTAAGTCATGGAAGTAGTGTGAATGTTTACCTACCTTTCAAACTATAGCTCTTGTAGATTTTAAAATATTTTACTACGCAACGATCTCTGCTATAGTAGACCTGTTTTTTTTTTTTTTTTTAACTAAACCACTTTCAAGATGCATGAAAAACATAATTTTTGAAAAAAAAAAATTCATTGTTTTTTGGTCGGAACTGGGCCCCTAAACGTCCTGGCCCACCCCCCCCCCCCCCCCCCCCCCGCATTGCGGGGTCTGGCGGTATGGTAGTTCCGCCCCTGCTCCATCTTTAACATAATGGTTACGGTTAGGTTTATTGTTAGATTAAAATTAAATTTGAAATCGACAAGAATGATATTTTTTCTAGGTTTCTTCCAATATAGTAGGTCGTGGGAAGGGGGGGGGGTGGGTAACCTTTTGTTGTTGTGTCACATTTACCGATACTTGGAGTTGTAATAGTTCAAAACAAACGGCAGGGTCAAGTAGGCCACGAGAAGATGTGTGCGCATGATGCAGGCTACATGTACCAGA